GCATCACCTGTGCACGGCAGCTAATGTACTCCTTTGTGAGAAATGTTAGCCGAAAAGCATGAAATTCCAATATCCACAGAAAAGAACCAACACATGAGCAAAGATGTGAAGGATGACTTATTCGTGGAAGCAAAACGATTACAAAAATGCTGCATTACAATCTTTGATCATTCCTATTCTTTTCTCAACCTGTAAGGATGAAAACATCTGCAAACAGTTGTATCAGTCTTAGAAAAATAAAGGAAATAACTTGAACTTTTAGCATTTCTGTAAACTGTTTAAAGGGTGTAATGTTCACAACTATTCTGTTCCAGATGAATCGGTAATATTGACTGACACCAGACTGCATTTCCTGCCAAAACCTCCAATCTATTTTGATGAAATATCCAAATAAACTTAATTAAACCTTGTCCATTGTCATGATCTGTTATATATATATATTTTTTCTGTATTTCAAGTTGCCCTGCGATGGACTGTCGGACTGTCCAGGACTGTCAGAGGAATAATCTTTACTAACTTTCCAGACTGGCCGAGCTGTTTCAACAGTGTTGCTATATCACACAAATCCTCTCAAAGTACTTCTCAACAGGAATCGGAAATCCACGAAAAATCAAAATGGAGGCAGACACTACTTTCTCCTTGAGGTTTGAGGTATGAAATTACACGTGGATGGATAAGTGACCTGCTGAACATCCTTGTGGATCTGCCTTTCAGTTGATATACCATGAAATAGAAGCACAACCAGGACGTGACTCCTGAAGTATGGCAATGAGTTAATGTGTTTTACCGTAATTGAGATGGATGCATTATTAATGAGCTGTTTTAGCTCAAAGCTAGAGATGCATCAAATTATGCTAAGTAAGAGAAAAATGCTAATGGCCTGCTGCAAAAAGACCAAACTTTGCAGTTTTTTTTTAATGTCCTTTCCCTTTGGCATCATCTCTTAACCTGCATTCAATGTATTCCTCAAAAACTCATGTTCAAATTAGAATGAGGTGTATTAATCCCAAAACGATTGTCTGTTTTGTTTGTATGTTGTACA